AGCCCAGCTACCTGGCCCCCGCCCAGTGACCCTCACAGCCTGGGTGCTGTGGCTGGACAAGCGGACACAGTCCTGACCACCTGCCACCCCTCCCCGCCCCCTCCCACGTGCACCTGGAAGAAATCCAAACTGGCGCTTCTTTCTTCACCCTCAACCCCCCCCACCCCCACCCCACTGTGTGTGTGGCAGGGAGGGACTTCCTGTTCCAATTTCCTGACCAACCGAATCTCATCAAAATGCACAGGCCTGGTCCCAGGGTCATAACTCACCTCTCGGGAACCAGGCCCTGAATTCCCGTCACCGCCTTGGGGAGACGGGGCTGGGACAGAGTTTAAGGAGACAAGGAAGGAGGGGTGGAGGAAAGGCTGAGACACGGAGCTGGCTCACGGGTGATTACCCACCAAAGTCAGGAGCATCTTCAGCGGGGTGCTAGGGACTCCTATCTGCACGCCTAGCTAGCTACTCAGGAGGCTGAGATCTGAAGACTGAGGTTCAAGGCCAACCCAGACAGGAAAGTCCATGGGACTCTTTACCTCCAAAATGGTACAATAGTCCTGTGCGACCTTTAGAGGCCATGAACATGGGGGGGGGGGGGGTGCGGAGGACTCCACTCAGGGCATGTGTGTGTGTGTGTGTGAGAGAGAGAGAAAGAGAGACAAATATTTCCAGTGCTGAGTTCTAAGTATGCAAGAATAGGGATTACTATAAAGCCAACATTAGTGGTTCATGCCTATAATCCTAGCTGTTTAGGAGTGTGAGACCTGAGAATCAAAGTTGAAAGCCAGCCTGGGTAGGAAAGTCCCTGAGATTCTTATCTCCAATTAACCACCAGAAAGGTGAAAGTAGAATTGTGGCTCAAGTGGTCGGAAAGCTAGCCTTGAGGGGGAAAACTAAGGGATTACAGCACCCAGGCCGGGAGTTCAGGCCCCAGTATTAGCATTTAAAAAAAAGAGGCTTACCCTAACATTTGTCATTCAAATTAGAGTCATTTGTGAGTCATTCCAAGGGGAGACACTATTCCCGGACTGTCTGTTTTATCCTTTTCTTGAAGACGACGTCACATTTGCATTGCTTACCGAGGGCCCAGGGCAGTTTCTCAGCATTGTTTTGACAGGCCGGCTGGTGTTCCTTCCATGGAGACAAACAGCCAAGTCCTACATTCACTCCTAGTTGTCCTCACGCTGTACTGTGCTGGGCTCAGGACTTCTAGAAGAACTTCATCTCCATTATCAACGGGAAGCGGGCCAGGAGGCCGGGCACGGGATGTCCTCCAGCTGCTGCTGGGCCTGCTGTCCTCCGGCAGCCCTGGGTGCGGTGGTGAAGAGACCGAGACCTCGGGCTGAATCCTGTCAGGCCACTGGGAAAATCCAGGCTGCACCTCAGGCCCCAGCCCCTCCTTCCCCGCATCCCGCACAGAGATTAGGTGACCAGATCTAATCTCAAACCTTTCCTCCATCCTCTTAATGAGAAGTCAGGGGGAAGGTTTCTATCACTGGATGGTCCATTTTGCTGGTTAAAAAAAAAAAATCAGAATATGCTGGGGTAGATAGCATGTGTGTATACACAGGATTGCTTTTTCTTTCTTTTTTGCCAGTGGGATTGAACTCAGGGGCTGGGCACTGTCCCTGAGCTGCTTTTGCTCAAGGTTAGCACTCCACTACTTGAACCATAGTGCCACTTCCAGCCTTTTCTATTTATGTGGTACTGAGGAATCGAACCCAGGTTTTCATGCATGCTAGGCAAGCACCCTACCACTAAGCCACATTCCCAGACTCTGTATGGTCTTTCTATGCTTGCCTGCATGCCTTCCTTCCTTCCTTCTCCTTTTTCTCCTCCCCTCCCAACCTTTCTTCTAGACAATGTCTTGCTATATAGCCCAGGCTTGCCTTAAAATCAAGATCCTCCTGCCTCAGCTTCTTGAGTATTGGGATAACAGGTGTGCTATTCATATATATAAATATATATATGTATATACACACGCATACATGTATAATCACATCATATGCTTTATGTGTTATATGTATATCTTATACATGATGCATAATAAATCATATACTAATATCATATATGTTATTTATTCTATTATACGTACAGTATATCTATATTAGAGCACACACAATATATATACACATATATACACTCATGTATATATATATGTGGGCTTTTCTCACTGTGGCACACACTTATTAAATGCTAAGTATATTCCGTTCACCCCTTTACATCTATGAACTCCTTTACCACCCATGAACGCAGCCCTGGCGTCCCTCAGCCTCCTACAGAAATGGAACACAGGGGCATGGCACTTGCTGGAGGCCGCAGGGCTGAGGCGCACAGGGCTGGAATTCCAAAGTAGCAGAGTTTTTTTTTGTTTTTGTTTTTTCAAAGCTGCTTGCCCTCCACTCTCCCCTGAGGATACAGAATCATTTGGAAGCCAAATAAACTACGGGCTTTACCCAAAGGGAAAGAGCACAACCATCGGAGCCTGTAGGGCTTTCTCAGGTGAGGAAATCCTGCTGAGACCCCGCCCCCTCCGGCCCGCTCCCTGCTGAGCTACAGACTACGTCCTGTAGTTTCAGCCCATCCAGGATGTGAGTAAGTGCGATCGTCTCCCTTGATCAAGGTTCTCATGCTTTGAGAAAGTCTCTTCTCAGCCCTGTCCCAATACCTGGCCATCTCGGGCCAAGACGCACTAAACCCTCAATCCCTGCAGGCTACCAAACCTCAAGGCAAAGAAACTAAGGCCACTCTGTTTCCTAAGCAGCGCCCACGGAGATTCTCTGTCGGATGAGTCAACTTGACGAACAGACTATGGCAAAAGCCACGGTAGAGGGAAGGAAAGAGAAACCAGAGACAAATAAGACAGCGTTGTGGCAGGCTGGAAAAGGATTCACGGATCCTTCTGGAAGCCGTGCAATGCGGGCGAAAGTGTACACCACCAATTCGCTCCCCGCCTCTGCCGGGGCTCAGCTCACACCTCTTTTCCAGCCTCTGGTGACCCAGCTGGGGCTGAGGGTCTCCCGTGTCCTGGGCTAAACCTCTTGGAAAAATCCGCAGTGGTGAGCTCCCTGCCATTCACTGCGAACAGCTGCTTTTCCTGGCTCTCAGTCAAGTTGCAACTCTCATCCCTCATCTCAGGAGCCATTCGGCGCTTTTCTGAGCCGAGGAAGACATCTCGGGATCAGCACACAGGCGTGCAGTGACCTGTACTGGGCCAGTTTCCCTAGCACATGTGCAGCCATGTGTGTGGCCACTAAAACACAGAAAACCAGAGAACTGTGCATCAGGAACAAGCATGTGTGCACACACGCTCCCCGCACCCCACCCACAGCCAGGCAACCCTTCCAACGGGCAAGAGATCTATTTTTTAAGTTGCTATTTTAAATTTTTTTATTTTACTTGACAAATCATGGTACCTATTTGTGGCATACAACCTGATGCCTTGATGTATTTATTGTATGGGCTAAAGCATGCTAGTTCACACCACCATTAACCACACTTACTTAGCTAAGCTCTTTTTTTCTGGAAGTCTTCACTGTTTTAACATAAGTCAGGATTCTAATCCTAGCTACTCAGAAGGCTGAGATCTGAGAATTGCAGTTGGGAGCCAGTCTGGAGTGTCTGTGTGGGAGGGGGAGGGGGGGCAGACTCTCCAATTAATCAGCAGAAGGCTGGAACTGGAGGTGTGGCTCCAATGGTAGGGGTACCACCAGCCATGATGGAGGTGGGGGAGGAAATAAAGCCAAGTAACAGCCATAGGCCCATGAGTTTGGGCCAACACCTTGAGCAAGCCCATTTTCTTTTTCCTTGTCGCAATGGCCAAGCGTGCTGGACAGAAAAAGCAAGGGTCGTTCCCCACCCGCTTTTTGCTTTCCCTGGTGGGGTGGCTCCTCCCTCTTCTCCCCCCCCCCCCCAGGCTGCCCACGGTGCCTCCCCTGTCCATCCTACAGAATCTCGCTCGGGGACACTGCAGCAGTTCTATTCTTAGGACAGCACACATGCCAGGGCATGTTCCAGGCCCGTAGAATTTCAGAGCTGGGCCGGTTCCACCGATGCAATCAGGGTGAGTGGGTGGCGGGCCTGCCCAATGCCAGACACCCCAGCCCAGCTGCTCTACTTCTGCCCCTCCTAACGTCACACAGCTGCTAAATGAAGAAATCAGGGTGGCATGCCCCGGGGACCACCCCCCGACACACACCTCCAGCCAGGACACCTGCCTCCATTCTGGGTCTGCCCCCCACATTCGTCCAGGGCGCCGCCAATGGCCAGGGCCGGCCAAGGACAGGAAGATCAGCAGGACAGAAAACCCCACGAGTGTCCATCCCGAGGCCCGAGGCCGCAGCTCCCACCTCCCCCACCCCCCACCCCGTCCTTTCTTTTCTGGAGACTTCTTTCCCTCCTCTCTCCAGGGTAAGGCCTCTTCTGATGACCCGCGCGTCCCGGGCTACAGGTGCGTCCTTCCCGACGGCCGGAGCCCATCGGAACCCCCCGGCCGAGCTCTCGGCAACCTTCCCCTTCCCCACCCCGCGGAGGGCACCTGACCTGACCCAACCCCGCAGACCAGCTGCCGGTCACAATCGCCCCCAGCTTCTTCCCCCTCGCCCCCCCTTACCCCCCTCCAAGCCGCCCCCCCAGCCCTCTAAGCCTGCATCCTTTACCCCGCCCCCTGAAGGTAAGCTTTATCCAATAGCGTCTTGGCCCACGGGCCAAAGACGTCAAAAGTAACCAATGGCCGAAGAGCTCTTCGTTAAGGGCCCCCTCCTCCCATCTCCGTTTTGAGGGGCAGTTCTACCGACCAATAGGATGCCGGCCAGGTGCAACGTGAGGGCGCCGAACCGCGAGAGTGGCGGCTGAGCTATCCAATGAACAGTGGGTTCCCTTGGTGAGGGGCGTGGCCGAGGCGGTTGTCAGGGGCGTGGCGGCCGTTGCCTGGGCGGGGCCGGTAGCGGCGGGAGCTGCGCTGGCCAGTGGTTCCGGCTGCATTTCCAGGAGCGCAGCCGGCGGCGGCGGCGGTGGCGGCGGCGGCGGCGGCGGGCGGAGCTGAGGGCAGCGGACTTGGGGCGAAGCTGGGCCGTCGTCGTCCACCGAGCACAGGTAAAGCCGCGGCCGAGCGAGCTCCGCGGAGCCGGGGTCGGCGCCACCCGCCAGGCCGAAGCCCGGAGCCGGCGGTCCCCGCCGCGGCCCGGCCGCTGCGCTCGGCGCTCCGGCTCCGGAGCGGGGGGGGGGGGGGGGGGGTCCTGTCACCCGGGCCGCGGGGTCCCCGGGCCCGGCTCCCGCTCCCGCCGTGGCCGGGCCGCGCCCGGGCGACGCCTTCCCGGAGCCCTTTGTCCTCCCGGGCTCGGGGCGGCCCGGCCGCCACCCCCGGCCCGGCCCGCGCGCGCTCCCGGGTCAGGACGGGGGATCTCCGGTCCCGGCCGGCGGGACGGCGTCCAGGAGACCCGGGGGTCGGGGGGCGGGGGCTCGCTAAGAGTCCCGGATATTCGCTAGGCCTCCGCGTTTGGGCACGGGGCGGGGGGGTTCCGGGGCGCCCTCGCCACCCACGGGCTCGAGTTCGGAGGGGCGGCGGTTCGAGACCCGCTTGGGCCGGCCCCGCACCGTGCTGGGCGCTGGGTTGGGCCCTGCCCACAGCGAGCGCTGTCCAGCAGCGCCGGGGGGCTCCCTGGCCGGCCGGGCAGCCCGGGCCTCGGCCTTGGAGGCAGCCAGGCAGAGGCCCACGGCCGCCACCTGTCAGGGATGCTCGGGGAGGCCCGGGGAAGGAGGCCCGGGAAGGGAGGCCCGCGGGCCCTGTCCACGCACAGGTGCACAGCGGCGCGCAGCCTGGGATGGGGAAGGGTTCTTCCGGAGAGTTGGTTAGGACCCAAGTGGGTGTCGACTTCACTCATAATGCATTGTTGTTGTGGTGGTTGTTGTGACTTGCCCTGGTCCTGGGCGCTGTCCCTGAGCTGTGTTGTGCTCAAGGCTGGCAAGGGCCCTAACCACACCCCATGAGCCTCAGCTCCACTTCGGGTGGCTTTTGGCTGGTTAATTAGGGATAGAAGAGGCTCACGGCTTTCCCTGCCCAGGCTGGCTTCCAACAGCGATCCTCAGATCTCAGCCTCCTGAGTTGCAGGGAGGATTACAGGTGGGCACCACCTGCCCACACCCAGCTTCCTACGGAATCTTGGGGTGTCAGCTCCAAAGTGGGGCCGGGAGCAGAGAGAATGGATTTATAGTGCGGATTTACTGAAAAGTAAATAAACCAAACGGTTTCTTTCACCACGGTGAAGCGTTTTAATTTTGAAGTACTGCGTATTTAGGCTTTCCAATTCCTCTCCTCTCCTCACCCCAAACCTCCAGTTTGCAAGTTTTACCTGCATTTTAGTCACTAAATCCAAAGGCAGGATCTAAGAAAAGCTCAGGAGAGGAGCTGGGGGGAGTCAGCATGATCTGGCCCCCGACCTTTTCAAGGACCCATTCAACCACATTAAGCAGAGTGCAAAAGAAAAACCAGCTCCTCCCCCTCCCTATCAGTACCTCCTGTCATTTGCCTGAATCACAAGGACATGGTCTTCTGAAGGTCAGGGGCAGAGAGAGAATCCGAATACAACTTGCTGTCTATTTGAGGCCAAATTTACCTTTGACTTACCAGTCTATCATCACCGTGGATTTGTGGCCTCTGAGAGCCTGACATTCTAATGCAATCTCCTGAAGGTGCAGGAGAGGAAACAGGCTGGGGATCATCAGAGCTATAACTAAGGGTTGATTTTTTTTTTTTTTTTGCCAGTCCTGAGGCTTGAACTGTATGTAGGCCTGGGCGCTGTTCCCGAGGTTCTTTTGCTCAAGGCTACAGTTCTACCACTTCAGCCATTTGTGCCACTTCCGGCTTTTACTGAATAGTCTATTGGAGATAAGAGTCTCATGCTTTCTTGCCAGGGCTGCCTCCCAACCACAAGCCTCAGATCTTAGCCTCCTGAGTAGCTAGGATTGCTGGTGTGAGCCACTGGCGCCGGGCTTAGGGTTGATGGAGATCTAGCATGTGTCTGGTACTTTACTTCCAGACTGGGTGTCTCATCCTCCGCATTTGAGGTCTAGAGAAGCCCAGCAAGGCCTGGAGCACAGAGCATGGTACCTGAGTGGCCTGGGTTTGAATCTTAACTCTGCTTCCTGTTAGCTGTGTAACTTCTCTATATCTATCAAACAGGAAGGAAGGCTAGTGCACTGGGGTTGAGGACAGGAACCAGATAGCTTTGCTAAATAGAATCTTTTGTTACCTTTCTGTCTAGTTTTGTTTCAGATCTACCACCCAGTATGTTCCGCTAGGACACTCACCCTTCCTTCCACTAGAAAATAAAAATCATTTCACTTTCGCAGAGACCATCTGCAGGGGTTTTCAGCTCACGTTGTATCTTTTTTTTCTCATCTTTCTTTCCTTTCAGTGAATCAGATAATTCACTCTCTCTTTTTGTAACCACACTCTTCTTAGATGCTCAATCTTTTTTTAAAATTTTGTTTTAAATTCTCTTTAAAGGGGGTGAGAGGATCTAAGTGTAAAGCAAGTCGTGGAAGATGGCAGCATCAGAGTCTCTACACACATGCAGGCCCCTCTCCTCGGCCTTTCTCCCAGTCATCAGCGTGCTGCAGCTTGATTATAAATGGATGAACATTTTTAGATTAAGATTTCATGAGCCACTATATTAAGTGCTTTTCGGAAGTTCAGGGATCGTGTGTCAAATGCATTTAAGCAAGCTCCTTAGTCATAGGAGTGGGGAGGGAGCAGCGGCCCTGCCCTGCCTGGCAGAGACCAAAGTGGACGGCCAATTTTGCTGGTAATCCAGCTTGTTCGCCGTTTCTTCTGCGTTTTCCCTGTCCTTTTCCAGAGCTTGAGATAAGCCAGACGGCCTACGCCATAGAGTGGTCTGGTCGCAGCCCTACAAGTTCCCTCTCCTCCCTTTTCCCTTTCCCTTCCTGTTCACCTCACGATAAATCAGCCACCCCCAGTGTGTCCCTTGTTTGGGAAAGATGGCTGTCACCTTTGTTATTGTCATCTTAGATTAAATCAGAGAGGATCACTCCATGGATTGGCACCTCCTTCCACCTTGTTTTTCTTAAGATTGTTGATTCCGAGTTAGGTGTTCTTGGTTAGGCTATGGTAGTGGTTGCTTTAGAGTAATAGTTTTTGTGTGCTTTAATGCAGACCCCCGGCGCTCTGTCTTGCCCGTGGCTTCTGACACTGGGGTGGGAGGGCATCTCATTCCTGGCTGCGCCATCTTGTACCTTTCTCCCCGAGATCTCTGGCCAGGCCTGCACATGACTATAGTTCTCATCACGTTGGCTCAGGACACCCACCCAGAGCACGGTACAGCAAACATGTTTCTTTTCTTTTTCTTTTTGTGCTGGTTCTGGGACTTGAGCTTAGCCTGAGTGCTGTCCCTGAGCTTTTGTGCTCAGGGCTAGTGCTCTACAACTTTGAGCCACAGCACCATTTCCAGCTTTTTGGTAGTTAATTGGAGATAAGAATCTCACAGACTAGGGCTGGGAAAGTGGCTCAGTGGTAGAGCGCTTGCCTTGCATGCCTGAGGCCCTGGGTTCGATTCCTCAGCACCACATAAGCAGAAAAAGTGGGAAGTGGAGCTGTGGCTCAAGTGGTAAAGCGCTAGCCTTGAACTGAAGAGCTCAGGGATAGCACCCAGGCCCAGAGTTCAAGCGCCATGACCGACAAAAAAAACAAAACAAACAAACAAAAAAAAAGCTCACAGACTTTCCTGCCCTGCCCTGGCTGGCTTTGAACTGCAATTCTCAAAACTCAGCTTTCTGAGTAGCTAGGATTACAGGCATGAGCCACTGATGCCTGGCTTTATTTTATTTTATTTTTAGCTTAAGATTTGGCTCTGAAAAGCCCTTCCAATGTAATGGGATTCTATGTGGCCTGCTTCATACACTGTCTCAATTTTGGGGTGGTGGTGAGTGTGGTATTCTTCTCGACCTGTTGAAAAGAGTAGATGTCCAGCATGAGGTGTTTTAAACTTTCCTGTTTTGTCTGGAGCTAAGCTGGCCCCGAGAGCAGGTGCCTCTGTTATAGCAGCTTTTCCTGATCCAGCGTTTGGCCAGTATGTGATGTGACGAAGGCCATTTGTTTGAGGCGGAGTCTCCCTACGTACCTCGGGCTGTCCTCAACCTCCGACCTCCGCCTCCAAGTGCTAGGGTTACAGGTGTGTCCACCACCATGCCTGATGATTAAAGCCTTTAAAAAAAAAAACAGTCTATGTTTCCATTCTGTGTTTGATAAGTGTTAACATTATCTCCTTTCGGGGCCATCTTTATATCTGCAGCTTTATTACGTCATCTCAGCTTCAGGGCTCTGTGTTTTCTTGCATCGGTGGCTGATGTGCATAGGTGAAGTGTCTGCACCTGGGCCAGGGTTACCCACAAGCCCATTCTCTGATCTTCTGCCATAGTTAAGTAGCAGACAGGTGGAGTGCTGAGGGAGTTAGCGCATTGACTCCCGCGGGTTTCCTGGTTTCTGGTTTTCTTTCATTGTCAATAACTAGGGGCTCATTAAGGTCATCGAACTGAGCATCTGGTGTGTATGCCAAGAGCACAGTTAACCAGACTACCAAGTGTGTTTGCTTTATTGCTTAAGGTCTGATTTTATTTTATTTTATTTTTTGGGTCCGGTCGTGGGGCCTGAACTCTGGGCCTGGGCGCTGTCCCTCAGCTCTTCAGCTCAAGGCTAGCGCTCTACCACTTGAGCCACAGCGCCACTTCTGGCTTTTTTCTTTTTGCTTATGTGGTGCTGAGGAATTGAACCCAGGGCCTCAGGCATGCAAGGCATGCGCTCTACCACTGAGCCATCTTCCCAGCCCCAAGGACTGATTTTATTTTTAAATTGTTTTAATTTAAATTTTATTGGGGAGCAGGGTGGTGGTACACATCTGTAATCCTCGCTCTCAGAAGTCTGAGGTAAGAGGTCTAAGAATTCAAAGACAACTTGGGCTACTTAGCAAGATCGTGTCTCAGAAACACACACATTTTTAATGTAGTTAATTCAGAAGTTTTTTTTTTTAATTTTTTATTTATTTATTTTTTTGGGTCCGGTTGTGGGGCCTGAACTCTGG